AAGTAAGAGTAGCTAACCCCGAGTCACTTACACACAGGCTCAACCATTTGTGCGAACTCAACACTTTGCTCAGCCGGTTGGCCATGCAACAGCAGCGCTTACCTGCAACTACGGAGATTGACAGACCGCTCAGCCAGTCTACTCTTACACCTCTGCCGACGGGGATTCTCAACAGGAGAATATCAGTATCTCAGCTATGGAAGACGCTTTGCACGAAGACTTCGATGCATCTATTTATGATGATTAAGACACTCTCACCATCCCACCTATGAAGTATCCCAGGTAGCGGATAACTTGAAGTGAGTCTTCGCGAAGGCTACAAAGGCTACAAAGCTACAACGTCTACCGACTACACTTTAATCTGAAGAAGTTCCCGCTACATAACATGGCGGCGTTCAGTAAAGCTCCTGAAATAGATGATGACTTCTCACTGATGAGCGACTCCAAGACGAGATCTTACAGGGTCGAAGATAAGAAGTTGGCCCAGTTGGACACCATTAGGAGGGCTTTTTTACAGTCTTCGATGTCCAGAGCTATCAATGAGGCAATGCTGAACACCCTGAAGAATACGCAGATTGTGAGAGGATGTTCTTATCAACTATTGTGGTGCAGAGGATGAATCAGGAGTTTGTCTTGGACCACATGTCTACTTTGGCGGGGCTTACTCTCCTGTGTCGCCAGGGTCTACTCTCCTCCTGCCAGTGGTCAAATCTATATCCCAAGCCACTGCTGCACAAGCCCTGGGGTGCGACTACCATCTTCGATAGATCTATATGGTGGGTCAGTAAGGAGGTAACTCAGGACTCCAAGGACCAGATGCTCATCAAATCTGTCCAGACGATGAACTTGATTTTCAAACTGGCTATACAGAAGACCCAGTTTAGAAGTAGCCTCTTGGGGATCCAGAAGGCCAAAGATAAGAAGTTCAGGTTGAATAAGGGGTCAAGATTGTCTTCTTTTTGCAAGCCAACCAACAACTCTGTAGGCCGCTCCACCTCAGGCAGGACCTCAGGCAGCTCCGACTGTCAGTCATTGAAGAAGATGTTTGGAATGACTGGTCTCTTCCACCACCAGCCGTTCCAGTACAACCTTTTACCTAGGATGGACGTCTCATAACTGGTTGTTTCTTCAAGACCCGTTCATGACTCAAGTCCTTTGTGAAGGTTACCGGATCTAACTGAAGGCCACACCTCCTCGGACTACTCAGCCGTCAACTATACTGTATCCAGAGCCCCTCAGACTGAAGTTGACAGAGGCCATTGACTCACTTCTCACCAAAGGTGCTGTAGAGGTTCTTCAGCCAGATGAATTATCCCCAGGTTCCACTCGCCAATTTTCCTGGTACCATTAAACTCCACAGAAAAGTTCTGCCTCATGTACAACATGAAGAAGTTCAACCAAGACTACCTGTTTAAGCCCGAGAAGTTCAAAATGCTGCATCTACCGACTTAAGACATCTCAAAAAGACCGGTGATTACTTGGCGAGCATATAACTGCAAGATGCGTATCTTCACATCCCTATTCATCCAGCCACGGGAAAGTTCCTGCTTTTCCTGTACCTGGGTCAACCTTACCCATGGAAAGTCATTCCCTCTGGAAAATCTTCGGCCCCGTGGTTATTTACTCGTGTGACCGAGCCCATCTTGGCCTACCTACATCTGAGAGGGATTCACATCACCTTCTATCTAGACAGAGGCATTCAGGCTCACCAATTAGCAGATCTACTCAGACAGCAGCTGAGCTTCATCATTCGTCTGTTAACACAACTGGGCTGGTTAGTCAACACCTTGAAATCAGAGTTAGAACCATCACAAGATCTGAAGTTCCTGGGCATCAATTCCTAACTGTAGGGATCTGGTCCAGGGAAGAAAGAGATCTTCACATCAACCAGCTGGAATTTGAGGCAGTCATCAGCACCATCTATCACTGGTCCCATCTCCTCAGATACCAATTCCTGATGATATGAATAGACAATGCAGCAGTAGCATTTTACATCAACCTGCAAGGCATAACAATATCGGCCTTCCTGCTGGAACAGACCTTCCGCCTCTTCGAGCTCACAGACAGTACGTGGAAGTAAAGGCCAGACACATCCCAGGTGCTGTCAAACATCTTAGCAGACACGTTGTCCAGACCCAGCAAGCCATCTCCAACAGAATGGATGCTGCAACCAGAGTCATTTCAACTACTGGTGTGAGATCAGGGCTGCCTACTTGTAGACATCTTTGCGACAAGATTCAACAAGCAGATAAAGACCTTTATTTCATCGGTTCCAGATCCACTAGCCTGGTCCCTAGACGCCCTAGCCATATCTTTGGCAGATCTCCATGCTATGCGTTCCAACCTCCCATACTACTACCACGAGTCATAATGAAGATTGCCCTGGCGATGATCCTGCTACTGATTTTAAGAGCGCCCTACTGGCCATTGAGAACACGGTTTCCTGAGCTCACCAGACTTCTCGGAGAGCCAAGTTTCCGATTTCTGAACTGGCCCAATCTACTGATTCATCAGCACACAAGACAGGCTTACGCCAATCCCGAGGGCTTCCAGTTAAACGCATGGAACATATTATGAATTGCCTCACAAGAAGAGGGTACTCTACTAGCAGCCAAGGCCGTCATCCTATCTCTCAGACGCTCTAAAAGAAATCACTACGTTGATAAGTGGAAGAGCTTTGACCAGTTTGCAGCTGGGAAGGGGTTCTCAGCAACCAGGGCTACACATCCTCAAGTGGCGGAATACTTGTGTCATATGAGAGCTACCAGACATTTGAAAGGTTCTACCCTGTCTATGTATCTATCAGCCATCAGCTTAGTTCTCACCATGAACTTGGGAGTGAAACTCAACAAAGTTCCAGAACTCGTCACCGATTCTATGCATTTGTATTAAAGAATCTGTCTATGTAACTGTCAACAAAATAAACAGCAGAACGCAGACGGCTTGCAGAGGGAGGGAGCCAATGACCTGTAACAGCGGCAGTGTTGACAGATTCTTTAATACAAATGCATAAAATCGGTGATTTACAATGTGATTAGGTTGTCTGACAAAACATCCACTTGCACAGTTTGAGATCGATTGGGTCATTGGATGAAGAGATATTTACAAAAAAACGGGTCCACATGCATTTCATGCCAAAATATAGCAAGGGACTTGAACATAGTCCTTCAACACCTAACCAGTGATGATTATGAGCCATTGCTTCAAGCAGACTTTGAGTTGCTAACTCAGAAGGCACTGTCCCTCCTTGCACTTGCTACGGCTGCCAGCATATGAGAAATCATGAAGTTGCCATTAAATCCACTTTAGCTCTACACAGCAACTGCTCCATCTCATCCATCATGGAATGATGCTTTTGGAGATTGGACTATGTCTTCGCCAACCACTAACTAAGGGACATTGCCACAATGTCACGATCAATTCGGCCTGTTAGTTGTGGCACAACAGTTGACAGTCCCAGCCAGGCACTAAGCACTCACCCATAATCATGTAGACGTCAGATTACTGTTCCATAACCACTGACAGAGAGTCCGTGTTCCCCTGCTTTACAAGATAAAGCAGCACATGAGTGATACGATTCAGTTGTTTATGACCTATTCTTAACATATGGATTGAACCAAGACAATCCGGAATCTAACTCCTTGCGAGTCTTAAAAATCCACAAAATCTTATGATTTACTTCTTTTTTAATTAAATGAAGGTTTTCCCCCATCTTACAGCCGCAGTGTAGAAGAGTTCTCAGGGGGTGGACCGAACAGTTATCAGAATCCAAATAAGTGTCTGGCCCACCACCTATATGTTGGATTCAAGCAATAACGTATGGGGGGTCAGGATAAGGAAAAATATGAATTTTTTATGATAAAATTGATATTTTATACTTATCCTGACTCATAGTCTAAGGGCCCTCCCAACCGTCCCCTCTCATACACTATTTGTCTTCGGTCAGCATAGCTGGGCATTATAATGGAGAGAGTGACACATAGCCAGTGATCATATGGGATGCTGGCATGGGAACTGGAGAGGACCATTTGGGGTGAGCTATTTTTAGACTGTTAATAGGACAGAGGATTCCACTGTACGTCGGAAGAAAGGGAGATAAAGCAATAACATATGAATCAGGATAACTATAAACTATCAATTTTATCATAAAATTACATCATTAATAAGTAAAAAATATGACTAGATTTTCCAATTAATTCCCAGACAAAAGTGTATTTCATCTTTGTTGATCAATGTATGGATATACATATTATAATTATACTATAAATTGCAATTGCGGGTGGCGCATCAGAGATCGCAACAAATACAAGAATTCTGGGACATCATTTGGGTAGTCTCAGGTGAAAAACAATAACAAAAGCAACAAAAAGGCACATGGAATTGCTCTGGATCAGTGTCCCTTTAAGGCAGGGAAGCTAAAGCACTATCTAGCGGCAGGTAGGTATAAAAACATTACATTATTTTTTTGCCCAACATCACTCACAGACTACCAGTTGTCACACTTCCATTTTTGTGGAAGCCACAATGGCTGAATGAGTTAGATTTGGGTGTTGGCGATAAGGTACCATACTCTGAGAGTGTGGGTGGAATTCCCAGATGGGACTCGCCCTGAAAAGTACTAGAACGGTAATTTACTGAGAGAGTGTAATCCCAAATATAACACAAGTTCATTTCGTTTACCCTTAATGTAACCTATTACAAATGGTCTGTGACCCGAATATGCCCAAGGAGCTGAGAATTTCCTCAGTGACCAGAGGAGTACTTCTTGATTGATGGGCTGTTAAGGAATCCTTATTTTCACTTGAGTATTTTGTTTGGGTCTGAGAAGCAAAGTTCATTTCAATAGAAGTTCATTAGAAAACCGATTGATATAAAATAGTAGATTTTCTTTGTGACCTGTTGCTTTGTTGTATGTTAGTATGTCAGCTGGGTGTCATACCAGTACATGGTGATTCTTGCCTTCACTGCAAGCGATGTAACTCCTATTGCTCTGTTTCCAGGTGTCAGACAACAAGTCAATGGTTGACGGGACAGAGAAGAGTCTAGAGGATCTTATGAAGGAAATGAAGGGATTATAGCACTTTGAATATTTTTAATTCCACCTCAATTATCAAGGCATCTGCTCACAAAATATTCTTGAATCTTTCTTGTTCACAAATATACCTGAACTGGAAACAGTCCACCTTGAAATACCATACAGTTTTTATCAAGAGTTAAGTGATAGGAATATTTTCCTGTGTGGTCAAAGTAATGAAACACGAAACCACTGTATGCAACATTTACAGCTAATTGTGGCCTAATTGTACAACTGCTGGTGTGCACTACATATGGCAACTGAATATGGCCTATCTGTACAACCACTGGTGTCTGCAACATTTACAGCTAATTGTGGCCTAATTGTACAACTGCTGGTGTGCACTACATATGGCAACTGAATATGGCCTATCTGTACAACCACTGGTGTCTGCAACATTTACAGCTAATTGTGGCCTAATTGTACAACTGCTGGTGTGCACTACATATGGCAACTGAATATGGCCTATCTGTACAACCACTGGTGTTTGCAACATTTACAGCTAATTGTGGCCTAATTGTACAACCGCTGGTGTGCACTATATGTGGCAACTGAATGTGGCCTATCTGTACAACCACTGGTGTCTGCAACATTTACAGCTAATTGTGGCCTAATTGTACAACTGCTGGTGTGCACTATATGTGGCAACTGAATGTGGCCTATCTGTACAACCACTGGTGTCTGCAACATTTACAGCTAATTGTGGCCTAATTGTACAACCGCTGGTGTGCACTATATGTGGCAACTGAATGTGGCCTATCTGTACAACCACTGGTGTCTGCAACATTTACAGCTAATTGTGGCGTAATTGTACAACCGCTGGTGTGCGCTACATACGGCAACTGAATGTGGCCTATCTGTACAACCACTGGTTTTTGCAACATTTACAGCTAAGGGACCGTTCATAATTTATGGCTAGGGGGTGATGATGATTTTTACGGAGAAGCTTGTACAATGTGAATGACCCCCCCAAAAAATGTATGACCCCCTAGCACGCAAGAACAAAATGGGTGACCCCCCTTAAAATCATCATCACCCCCCCTAGCCATAAATTATGAACGGTCCCTAATTGTGGCCTATTAATACCAGTCATGATAAGATAATCAGTATGGTTCTGTAGACTGTGTGTTATCACCAACCCTGATGCTTGCATTATATTTGTGATGTCATAACAAGATGTTTGGCTGTCTTCAACCATACCAAAGCTGGTGAAAAAATGTATATATATATATATATGTTGAGATGTGTATATTTTAGAAACTCTTTAATATCTCCCCTCAAGCTTTTGTCATTTTCCATAGCCTACAATGCACATATGTTTGGTGATTGTTGGTTTCCTTTGTTTAGACATGGACCCAGGGAAAATAAAATATTTGCCAAACTTTTTGTGGTTATTAATTCAGCTGTAGCAAAAATATGTTTATACTCTCTGAAAGTTCATCCCTTTCATGTTTGTCATCTTGATCTTTCTTGTTTATACAGGTCTGTTAAAAAATGAATTTGTCAGAAATTCAATGTATGGAGGAGAAAAGTGACATCGGAAAGTCGTTCAAATACACAGAAACGCCAATTATTAAGGAGGCGCTGGTAGACGAATTGACCCAGAAATAACACAATGAGGTGGATTGATATCATGCCCCCCTTCACTATGGACACTTCCCCAAAGTGGGTTGTGTCCGTTCAGATCACCCATGATGAGACATGGCTTTGGGAGCTGATCATACAGATTTTGAAGGTCCGACAGTCGGATATCAGAAGATGGAGAGACATATAAGCTGCACAGCGTCAACGCAATATGCAGAGTCAGACTAACAGCTACAGTTTGGAGATAAGTATTAAGAGTGACACAGTTAGCTATCATGCCCTGCCATACTAAAATAGACGCACCTCCAGCTGCTTTATCTTCTGGAGGAGAGAAGGAGTGATAATCACTGTACTGTTGTAAATTGAATGAGTCTGCATTTTTGAGATATGTCTCTTGAACATATATTGCTGAAGGCTTAAAATCCTGAATCAGCAATTGTATCTCACTGAAGTTGTTCTTCAGTCCTCTGCCATTCCATTGCATTATAGTGGACAATTGAGTCATGGAGGCTCAATTTGGCGATTGTACACGGGAATGTGAGGAGGAGCTATTCCTCCGCCTGTCCTGAGAGGACAGAGTAACCTCCACATCTAGAGGCCCTAATGAATTCTGGATAGGAACCTCAGAAGATGACTGGACAATAGTTTCTATTTAACTTTTTTCCTCTCTTCTTTCTGAATTTCAGTCTGAGACCCAGATGTTGACTGAGTGACTGATGAAGTTGGTTTTGTGGCTGAAGAGACAGGTCTTTCTGACTTAACCCATGTCTGACTTAACCCATGTTAAGTCAGTCTAACATGCAGCTGAGGACATTGCTACAGAGCAGGTGACTGCAGCCAAATATGAGATATTAAATGGAGTTGAAGACTGATTTGTGAAAAGTTTCTTGGCCACAACATAAGGAATGTTCTTTTCACATTCGATTTTCATAATTTTTGATTCGCTTTGATATAAAGGCAGGACCTGGATGGAGCAGCGTGTGGGTCATCACAGTTTGCACATTTGAAATCATTCTGACACTCTGCACCATCATGGTTGTTTCCACAACAATGTAGAATTATGGCATGAATAAGACCCATGTCCGAAATGCTGAAACTTGTAACACGGAAGTGGATTGGGGACAAACACATCCACCCCGATGTTAAAATAACCTGCTTTGATAGATTCGGAAACGAAGATCTGGCAAAGGTCAACATATATGTATTTGTTTTTGTGAAGATTCCCTCTTTCTTGATGGTGAAACGCTTCACTGTAGTAACTAACACCTTAGTCCTCAAGCTCTGTAGCAATGTCATCTTCACTCATATCTCACAAACAGTGTGCCCTGTCACGTATTGTTAGCACCTGCGGGAGTCGGCTATTCACTCCCCTTCTCACCAATAACACAACATGTTTGGATCATGCGCCATTTAATACAGCCCAGCATCCCTAGCTACATCCAGCTCCGTACACTGACACACTTCCACCGATAGTGCGCAGATTACTCGGTATGGTTAACATGCTCCTTTTTTTTTTTTTTTTTTAAAGAAAAAAAATTAATATTTAACTGTCAACAAAATATACCATGGCCGTTAAAGTCCATTTAACCCCTGGATTTCACGAACCAACTCTGAAGATTTAAAGTCACTGTTCCTAGATCATGAAACACTGAAAATGTAACCTCTGCACATCTAAAACAATTGGTACAAATACTCTGAACATGAAACACGATTTTCGTCACTATCCAAATACAAATCCAGTTTTACAAGTTTCCTGATGATACAACCCGATCTTGTAGTCACGGGCAACTTCTCCACCTCTGGTGCAGTGTCTGAGGGTTCATCTTCCTTTTCAACTTCTCGCCTTGCACCTATTTCCTGTTGGTTCCCAGTGGAACTTTCAGACAGCAACACACTGGTATCATCAGTTCAACACACAGCCTGGTCTCGGATCTCGTTGACGTGAGGTGGTGCTGCCCCCCGGATATGTAAACGATTACACCTGATCTGGGTGCGAGGTGTCGGATGAAAGAGGTGTCAGAGCAGCAACCACTTGCCCATAACTCCAGCACTTACTTCGATGTTGATTGTTCTGTCGTGCATACACATATTCTCCTGGGCTGAATCTAGGGTGTTCACATGTCACATCCTTGTCATAATGAAGTTTGGCATTCATTCTTCGATCTGAGAGTTCGCGTATCACAGTGGCAACTGGGGGCACCTGTTGCATCATCAGCGACTTTGATATCGGTAATAATGACCGGGTTCTTTTGCACAAGAACTTTTGAACTGGAGAATATGACTGTCCCTGGGCAGGCGTGTTTCGGTGCTCAATGAGACCTTCAAACAAGTTAGACTTCTTTAGGTATCGCTTTGCCTGCTTCACATATGACTCCACTTTCCCTGTTGCTTGAGCGTGATAAGGGAGCGAGTGATGAGTTGGAATTCATAGTCTCTCGCAAATTTCTTGAACTCATACTGAGGTCCATTGTCCATGAGCATCTTCAGTGAGATTCCATATCGAGCAAAGTGTGCTTTTGTTATGGATACGACATTCACTGTTGTGTCCTTTTCTGTAGTCCAGCTTTTCCACTCCAAACACTTGCTCTACCCGTGTCTCTGTTGTTTCAGTTTTGAGTGCTGCCCTTGATAACGTGTCTGCGAGGTACATGAGGTTACCTTTCTTGTAGACCACATTGAACCTGTATGGCTGCAACTGCAGGAGAATGCGCTGGAGACGACGAGGGGCCTTGTATGACGGTTTCTTGAATATAGTCTCTAAAGGCTGGTGATCACTGTGCACAGTTACATCATGTTTACCACACAGGTATTGGTAAAACTTGTCAGACACGATTCTGATAGCAAGGCACTCTTTCTCAATTGGCGTGTAATTTTGCTCTGCTGATGAGAGCGTTGTACTGGTGAACGCTACTGGGCATTCATCCTGGAGTAATGCTGCTCCAATTCCAATGTCACTAGCATCAACTTGTATGACACATGGCTTGTTGACATCAAAGAACTGTTGTGGCGTTTGCTATCATACTCTTTGCGGACTTGAATGCAGTTTCATGAACAATGGACTAGATCCATACAGCAGCCTTGTGCGTTAACTCTGTCAATGGTTTCACTACTTCTGGAAGATGAGGGGTGAATCTTGACAAGTAATTGCACATGCCTAGGAAACGCTGAACTCCTTTCACATCAGTTGGTGATGGCATGTCAACAATCGCTCTCACTCTGTGTGGGTGAGGGGTGATACCTTCGGGGCTGATCAGATGACCCATCCAGGTGACTGTTCTGACGTTGAACTGGAATTTGTTTGGGTTGAGTTTTAGGTTGATGTCTCGTCACCTGCACATGAGTTTCCACAGATTGACATCGTGATTTTCCAGTGCTTCCTCGTCTGTATCCCCTGAGCCGTAGATGAGGATGTCATCCGCTTTGTTCCAGACCGTCCAATGCTTCTTGCTGTCTCCTTTGATACTCTTCTGATAAGATGACTGTTCATCAAGCACAATGTTTGTGAAACCCTTGTAGACATCCACTGTCGAGAATATTCTAGCTTTGTTCAGTTTTGGCAGTAACTGTTTGACTGTTGGTATGAGATACTTGGGAATTTCGATTGCCTTGTTGATCATTTGACTTGGGTCAATACACACTCTGATGGACCCGTCAGGTTTCTCCCTGAACAAACTGTTGGACACCCAGTCGGTTGGTTCTGTCACCTTGATTTTCCAGATCCCGAATTACTTCAGTGGCTCCTTTTTCCAAATGTGCCTGCACGTTGGGGTTCATCTTTGTTGTCAAAGATTCCCCTAGAGTTCCAAGACCTGTATGAACATCTTTGAATGTATCCATGACAATTTCCTTTGTGAGCTTACCTGCCACTACTGGCATTTGGACATCAATTTTTTCTGATTTCCCCTCTTCA